CATCGTTTTGGAACCAAGAGTTCTAGTTTTTTGTGTGTCTTCTGGTCTCAGACCAACGCGGCTACCAAGTACACCCTTATAATCTTTAATGGATTTATCCTAACTACCTTCCTGCAAAGTACATAAATACTATTATCACCAGTTTTACAGATTTAGAGTTAAGACAGAAACTGAAATCCAGATCCTCAGAAGTATTTGGTGCCTAAGTACCAGTGATAGAATGCACCCTAACTGATCCATTGTTAGGGCTTCCTAGGTGTTACAATAATACAAATATAACATGTCTGCAACTTTTGTCTTAAATGTAAGATAGTGTTTTGTTTTGGAAAGTTTGACAACTAATGGGTACAGGGAAGCCAGACTAATTATATTGACTGCAAGAAGGCAGTTGGTGAGTGAGAAAACCTGTTTCTTTCATTTATTTTCACTGTATACCTTGTTACAACAAGGACATGAGAAGGAAGGAAGGAAGTTGATTTGAAACTTCCTGTTTGAAATCAGAACCTAGAATTCAGGTGAAAAAATGATAATGAAACTGAAATGTGCTTCAATTACAGTTATACGCCTAAATACCTTTGAGAATCTAGGCTTCAGTGACTTGTCCAAGGCCACACACAGGAATGTTGTAGCAGAGTATGTCATTAACTCTGGGCCTTCTGCCTTTCAGGCTCCTGCCCTACACCTACTGGACCATGTGGTCTCTTTCATAAACAACAAAATTTTTAGTAAGTTCCAGTGACACTTGTACAAACCCACTGAAGATAACTAAGTGTAATTATCACTGTCTTGCAAAATCTTTATTGTAGATGATATACAAGGTAGAAGGAAACCAACTTGACTTTTCAGTACTAGCCTTTGATTCCTGTCCTGCAAGCTTATACATGCAGGCAGACTTTTATGTCGGCTGAGAATCTGATTGGAATCTGTGGGTCTCTGCCTGGGACAGGGATCTCTATACAAGTGTGATTGGGGCTTTAGTGTAGAGAGTGGTAATGACAGAACTCATGCTTTTTGCTTGAACTGAGTGCATTTAATATGGAAATTAATTGGGACCTCATAATAGTGTTTCTATAATTTCTAGAGTAAAAACATGTTTTATGAAAAAAGACAACTAAAATATGTATTACCAATTAGTTTATCTACATATTGAGTATGAAGTTGGACTCTTTGCAAGTGAAATATTACTGGAAGGATGTTCATTCTTCAACCATTGTACCTATATCTTTTGACTATTGGGGCATGAAACATAATACTGGTGTACGTATCTTGTTAGTGGTTTAATTACATTGGTTAATAGGTTGGTGTGTTTTGTTTTTGTTTTTAAATACTGTATGTCTGGCTTCTATTGTCCCCCCCACAAGGAATTTTTATGTCTTTGGGGTAAACACCATGAGTCTGTTGTTTGATATTGGATTTGCACAATCCCATTTCACAAAATGATTTTGTTCCCCCTTTTTTTGCCTGCATTTTTGGATGGTGGGAAAACACTGAATGATGTTCTCCCCCACATTTTTATGGCTCTCTACCTAGTGCTAGGGGGAACACACCTTGTGGAGAAGATGATGGGTCCTCACTCGGAAAATAATTTGTGCTATGCTATCAGTATTAACAATTGCTATTTCTTATTTTTTAGGACCAAAGCAAAAGTACTTCCTGATTATCTTGCATGTTGCTTTTATGTCCTTTATCATTATCCACTATACAGAATATAATTTCCTAAACTGCAACCGTCAAAAATATTAAGATCATTTTCTGGCTTCTAAAATATGTTTAACTAAACCTTAACATAGCATATGAGAAAGTTCAGAAGAAGGCTTATTAGTAGCAGCCAGTCATGGACTCTAGTGGCAGAATGGTTAAGCCAGCTACAGGTCCAGAAGTGTGAGTTTGAGCCTTGCCTTGGCCTTACGCCAGTCATACCTAGTTCAGAGGTGTAACATGGCAGCTTTATGCCCTGGCACTGACATCACATGTGGCAATACTGCCAGCTGTGGTTGCAGCTACTTTTGCGCCCCTTTCCCCCTTCTCCACCAAGCTGGTGGCCAGGGCTATTGTCTGTCCCCCCCCAAAACCTCTTAGTTGCACTATTGCCCCACTTGATCCAGTTTTAAATGAGTGCTTTTGCATTTGGGCTTTGGAAGAGTTAAAGGCAGACAGATGTTATGCTAGCAACATCATTTGCTTGTATCGTTGGCTACAGAAACTAGCATGTCTTCTAGCCTTATGAGCAGCTTGGTTTGGGTAGACCTTTCATCTTTTTCTTTTTTTTGCGGGGGGTGGGGGGTGACCGTCCCCAATCAGTACATACTGGGGTTTGGCAGATGCTTGGGTAACAGCAGCTCTTTTCTTTCTCCTTCTGTTTGGGCAGGCAAGTCCTAGAATTTCCCCCTGGAAGTCTAAATGATGAAGGACTCTTCTGTCATCACTATACTTTAACAGGTGTGTGGGACAGTAAGAACAGGATATGGTTGCATGTATAACAGGGTACTTACGTAATGATTATTTTCCTTTTGTCAAACTTCAAGTGGAAGGTTTTGAGTGATGTCCCATTATAGGAATAGATGGGGGTTTAGAATAGGAAAGATCTGTGTTACCTAGGAGTGACAACTGACGTTTATCTGTTGGCTTCTCATGAGAAGAGATGCTTGAAGGGCTCCCTCCTGAGGAACAGTGAGGGTACTACTGTTGAATTAGTAAGAAGGAACTATCTTAGCAGTTTGCTTGTAGTGGCCAGTGTTTATTTTGTGTGCTTACAGCGTATGTAAGAAAATTTACAGTGCCAGCAGAGGGAAGAAATAAAAGGGTTACTTTTTAAGAGTTCGTTTCTGTAAAGAAAGAGTTATTTAGTTACCTCTGCTCTCTGCAAGTATTTCATAACATCTGACTAAGACAGTGGCTATCTCGTACAAAAGCTTATGTCTTTCTAAATAAGTTGTTTCTAAGCTGCCACCCTGCCCTGACTTCTGCCTGACTTCAGACTAACATAGCTAACTGTCTGTCATATGAATGATTGTATTAGTGATTTTGGAATTGGTGATTTGGGACCATGTCTCATACTTCCTAACAGGTTCAGTTTTCATTTTCTGAAAGTTTGTCTCTAGCTTCAAGATATTGTCGCACTTAATGAAGTTCCCTACCTCATCCAAATGAATAAGATGCAAGAGACAGAGTTACTTGTAAACAGGAATGCTAAGAAGGCTCCACAATCCATAAATGGACTCAGGCTGGCAATTGGATTTAGCTAACAATTTGGCAGCATAGGCCTTTTCTAGATTTGATTAAACAGTGTTCTTTTACCAAGGACATGTGAGCTAACATGTTTCAAAAACAAGGCAAGGAGTTGTTGTGATAGCTTTTATTGGACCATTTGTATGTTTAAAAAAACTAACGAAGGCAAGGCTGGTTTTATTTTACCAGGTGTTTTAGCATTCTGTGCATTTGTCTGGGATGCCTTAGACAGGAGTGATTTTTGCCTTGAGCTTTTGGACTAGCCCTCAGGAGGTTCCTTCCAGCTCTATTTTTCTGATCTGGTGCAGCAGCTAGTAGAGGTAAGCTAAAGTTTTGAAGCGTATTCCTTATAACGTTTTAGCTAGCTTTTTAAAATTATATATCTATACATTTTGTCCTGCTTTAGGTCGGATTTAGTATTTGGGCAGATCTGCTGAGTGTGAGGGAGATCAGTCACGTGTGCATCCCAGGTGAGGTATAAATATATCTGTGTCTACCCTGCATCATAGATTCCTGTCAGTTGGGCAAGTTGGCTTCATTTCACACCACATTTTGTATCTCCTGGTGAGAGCCTACCCCTCTTGTAGGTCTTTGCTGAGGGGTGGGTAACAGTCCTAGTGCATTGTTTCTATCAGTGATTCCCCTAGGCTTGCGTCTTAGCTGTTGGACTAGCACCTCCAATGCGTTCGGGGTAGGGATGAGCTTGTTGGCTTCCCTGGCCTGAGGGAAGGGATGCGCCCGCAGGAGCCCAGGGCACGTTGTCCTTGGCTGCCGGCGCGCTGGTTCTCCGGGTTCGGCTTTCTTGTGTCGGTGGGACGCGGCCCTTGGGGCGGGGACCCCAGCCCCCTCCGGGGAGCGGCTCGCGGGGAGGCAGGGCGGGCTCCGGGGCTGAGGGGAGGACGCGGCGTGGAGCGAGCCGCCTTCCCTTCCCTGCCGGCGGTGCCGTGCCCTGCCCCCGGCGTCTGTCAGCCGGGCGCGGCGTGGCGGCCGGGGCGGCCGGGGGCGGCGGTGGCCCGGC